ACCAATATGATTAACTAAGAAATCATATTGGTTTATTTATTCAATCCTGCACTTAATTATTTGATTGCTTGATCACCAATTGAATAATTAAGTGCAGGATNTTAGCTCCACATAGACATGGTAGCCAAACGACAAATCATACAAAGAAACATAAAAATTACTAAGTTTGGTGGAAGAAAAGATGAAACCCGATGAATTCCGGCCTCCACGGCGGCTCTGTGCTTGTGTTTTCCTCTCAAAAACGTCCTCCTCCCTCCAAAATAGGTTTAGGATCCCTTTTATACAAGTTGGGACCGTGTAGGGCCGAAATAACCTTGTCCCGAACAAAGTAGGAAAAATTCCCGTAACGGAGGTCCAGGCCAGCGCGCCGTGCTGGACCTGGCGCACAAACCGGTGAGCCTCCGGCTAACTTTTGCATTCCTCACGTTCTGGTCCTCTTTCTCAATTGGCTTTTCAATTCATTCTTTGTTTCTTACTTCATTTCTTCTAGTTTTTGTCTTCTTTTCATTTCTTTATTTTGTCTTTTTTTTATTTGCTTTTCAAAAATTAATTATCACTCCATCATCAAGTAATCACGAGCTAATCATGTAGTGTATAAAATACACATAAAATCTCTACTTTGCTCCCAATTTCGTCTTCACGTACCTACACATAAAATAAGTTCAATTAAGCACAAATATAATACAATTTAGCATTAAAGCACCTAAATGTAAGGTAAGTAATGAACTAAAAATATATAATTATAGTCAAACGTCACTACCCCACACTTAAACGTTGCTCGTCCTCGAGTCAACTAACAATTCACACTATCCTTGAGCACTTTGTTTTTACACAATTGAGGCACACTACACCAATGACCACGGTTGAAAGCAACAATTAAACCTTAGCATATGCAATCACATACACTTTCCTTTTTCTTATGCCAACTTCAAAAATATTCAAACAAAGACAACATGCTCATAACAATCCTAGCCTCACAAACCGACTCAATGTCACAATGTACTCGTGGCTTGAACACCCAACATCATAGAGAGAGCTAATAATGTTACCTATCCCTCGTATAACCATGTGTCCTCACAACAAAAGCAAAGAGAGCAAAATCAATCCACACATTCGAATCTCATGCTCACATATATCAAAGAAAATCGCTCACTCTCACGAAAGAAGTCACATGCATGTAATTGGTAACCATATGCTTGCCCTTAATGTAAATCCCTACTAATGTAAGCTCGCTCGATCTAAAACCAATTAGGACTTTTCGTGGTTGTAATGTGGGCTAAGGGACAGGAAGGATATATTTTAGGAATAGTGACTCAACCTCTTAAGCACTTTAACACATCACATGATAACTTAAGCGCAAATTCCTCAATCCACTTCAATTTCACAAACAAGATCACCCCAAAAATGTTCCCTTCTTCTTTAAGCACTACTTTAATTCATACCCACTAGCAAGAATAAGACAACAATTTATTCATCTCTATTTTTCCTTCTTTTTTTCCCCCCAGATTTTTCTCTCTTTTTCAATTTTCACTAGTGGTGTATTATTTTACAAAACAAATGCACCCTTCTTTCTTTCATTGGTTCCACTCAAAAGCCACCTCACACTTAGTCTCTTCGTACTTCTTTTAGCGCTCATTTTACAATTAAAGTGTTTTAAGAGGTAAAAGGATCAAAACAATATCAATTAAGAACAAAAAGGGTATATGCTCGTAATGTGGGTGCCAAATAATAGTCTATAGGCTTAGAAGGGTTAACTAAGGATAAATTTTATTTGTGATGAGCAATAAGCTCAAAAAGATCAAAGAAAGCCTAAAATCATTTCTCAAACCGAGCATCACCTAAAATTTCGCGTCAACTCACATACCGGGCAAGTTCTAGACACAATTACAATACATAGACTACACAAAAACCTCACCACACATGGCACATGACTCACTAAGGACGGTTCCATTCCGACTCTCAACTAATTCAAGTATTCACAAAGCCACGAGATATTAAGCATTAAGCGCAAAGTTAACACAAGTCAAGAAAACGAGAAACAGTCGTCACAAAACATGCTATCCAATATATAAAGGCATCAAGATTAATATCAAAATATAGGGAAGATACTACACATGCCAAAGCCTAAATATGTTACTATCAAACAAGTCAAGGCGCCTAGGAATCTCATCTTTCTTCCTCCATTTATTCCCTAAATTATATCTACGAAAAAACTACGTACCCGGTTCAAATTACATCCAATGGAAAAGAACCGATGCACAAAGAAAAACCACAGGGGATTATCACTACCTAAAGAAAGCTAAAAGACATGTTTTTGGATTTTTGTTTAGACTTTAATCACTCACGAAAAGTGCCACAAAATCCATCGTCGGGAAAAGTCCAAATTTTTACCTTTTTTTAAATTTCGTTTTTTTCAAAA